TCTGGAAGCTCGCATATGTTGCGGCTCAGTATCATGACTTTCCTGACCTGGGCCGACCTAAACCCTAAACCCTAAACCGCGTTCATAGAGTTCCCCCTCTTCTGTCTCCATCACGGGATGCTTGCTTTAGTCGGACCCGCATTTCCACCTTGCGATGCTGTGCGGCCATGCAAGCGGCAAAAACCGCGTGCTTAAACTGAGGATCCCTCCTGGGCAGACACAGCTCTCCAAAACGGCAGCTGGGTGCTTTGTGAAAGGATGGGCACGCCTTTGGCGGATCATGTGGGTGGTGTATACCAACAAGACCTTCCCAGTACCTTTTTCATTGGGGTCATAAGGTACAGATTGGGTATTGCCCCAATTCATTAACAGTTAGATAATTTTTGTAATATAATTCTATAGAGCCCTTAACACGACCCCTATTCTAGATGGTGAATTGGTGGGGCAGGACGCAAGGTACATTGAGGGGAATATTCTGAGTGGATTGAAAGTCCGCCCTTGGTCTTCAGGAGACATTTCTCGGAAGTTGGGCCTCCTTTTCTTCCCTAAGAGAACCTGGCCCTCATCTGGGTTGCGGTTAAGGAACTTAGATTAAGTTACCATAATGGATATATATATATAGATATAGTAACTAGCCATGGTCTTCCCAACTTAGCAACTTAAATTAAATTCTTTAACAGCAAAACAGTTATCAGAAGAATCCCTGCAGAAGGACCCATGCTTTGAGAAAGTTGGATAGCGAGGCGGCAAGCTTCAAATCATCCACCCTCACTCTCTTAGTTCATGTGGCATGACAACACCTGGGACCTGGGACTGGCCACGCATAGAAGTGTGCTTGACAAGTTCTGTGTATTGGTGGCATATGCTTGGCATGATGCTTGTTTGTCGCGAGCGTGTGCCTGCAGTATGCGAGACACCAGCTGTTTATTCACTCTGCAGATTTTTCAGGAGTGCTTTTATTCCAAACACTTGGCATTCTTCCACTGCCAAGTGCACCGACCTGGCCGTGGGGCTGTACCGCATTGGCTAGTCCTGCTGCCACTCCTCCTGCTACTACTGCTAACTCTCGGTAAGGCAGCGCCCCAGTGCATCTGGGCCTCGTCCCTGGCTCCCGGCGGCCAGGCGTTTCGGGGGAGGTCTCAAGCGTGCCTGGGACTTGCCAATCTTTGGGCACTTTGGATACAGGGCTTAGGCTGAGAGCAGCGAAGCCCCACGGAGTCTTTCCATGTGATAGCACTGGCCTGTCATGAGGTGGCAGAAGAAACGGCAGGGATTTTGCCTGGTAGAACTTTGGGTGCTGCAATTTCCTTTCCCAACAGGTCCGAAGGAGGCTTGAGGTTTTCCCCTGTCTATAGGTTCAATGGCTTGGTAGTGAATCAACTGTATAGGCTGGGGCCCTTAGTAGGACTTAGTAGGTAGGTCAAATGTTCAAGTTGGAACGAGCCTATGTCCAACAGTTCCTTACCTCGTTGTACACGCTTGTTTCGCCACATGCCCGCCTAGGTCACATATGACACGGCATTAACATCTGCTTACGGCAATTGACATGTGATGAACCAGTCTGGAAGCTTTGGGGCCTTTGGAATTGTCTCGCTGTTGTTGAAGAATGCTCCTCTTGGGAGGAAAGACTACAGAGGAACTCCTGGGTTGTCTGATGTGTATTGAAAAGCGGGTCAAACATGATAGTTGAATTACCTACCACGGCTGGGTGACGCATATCGGATTGGTGTGGGCTTGAAAAGGCATAAGAACCTGATCAGGGTCCAAAGGTCACGCTAAACTATGGATTTTTCGATGTTACTCTCATACGGGTCCCTTAGAGGCAAGGTGGGGCAAAGCTCATGAAATGCCGTTCCAAAAAGCACTCCTCCCGCGAAAGTCGAGCAAAGGTTAGAAGTGGGGATATGTATACATATATATATGTATGTATATATGTATATACATATACATGGTTGTGTGGGCAATGGCCTTGCGGTCGGGTCTCCACTTGCTGGTGTTCAGTAGGAATGAATGGATGGAAAAGAAAGTCGAAACGCACGTAGTATTGGGGAATCCAGTAACTCTAAGGATCACGGATGCTTATTCTTGTGGTTCTGCAGCGTTTGCTTGGCTCAGCATTGATGTCTGAGTTCGGCATCATTCGTGCGCTCTTGACAATGATTGTAGATCCCGGGCCCCAAAACACTCACAAACCTCTTGGACTTGACTTGGGGACGCCTGACACGGGATGCAGACTCTTCAGAACCTCCCCAACGAGCAGCTCAGGTGCAGCTTTGGGACGGCGTCCTCGCCCCGGAACAGGGTTTGGGGTTCGGGAGGATTGCCGAACCTCCCTTAAACGTAGCGTTTGATAAACGACTTTTGTCATAGTATATGCAAATCTCCGTGAAGATTTTGACAGCACCACCAGTGGTTTCCGCTTTGTAGCGACGGCCGATTCTCAAGCTCATGGCAGTTACTTCTTAGTCTCTTGAGGGCTCTGTGTGCAGGGAGTGGGTGAAATTTCTGCATAAGTCTCGACTTGGCAACGAAGTGCCAGGGCCCCTAAACACTAAATAGTAGTTTCCATTTTCTTTTCTATTATCCCTATATGACCCTATACCCTCTACTACCCTCTACTACTCTACATTACCCTACATTACCCTATATTGCCCTGTAGTACCCTATATTAACAGCCCTAACTCTTGCTGCTTTGAGGCGCTGACCGATGCAGATTTGGATCACCTCGTGGCTCAATTCTCCGAGGTCCCTCGGCCTGCAGGGCTCCCTTCAGGCTTCTGGGGTTCAGGGTTTAGGGGTTTAGGGTTTAGGGGCAGTTTAGGGTTTAGGGGTATTATATAGGGTTATATATGCTTATTCAATCTCCCATGTAGGCAGTACTGAAAGGATCCATGCCCTCATTCCTTTCTAAGCGCTAGATAGTTGAGGAGCGGCTTGGGACAGAGCTCCAAGCACAGGATTCTAGGGCGTTATATAGGGGAGTACTATAAGGGTTATGAAGCGGGATACTAGGGGTTTAGACTATAGCTCACATGACGGATCTTGCCTCTTCCAATTTCTGTTTCAGCTTGTGGTGCCTTGTCGGAGGCTGCATGGTAATGTATGAAGGCCCTGCTCTACCCAGAAAACGGGCTAGGATGAACTTCAACATCGAGCCAGCCCGCATGAAATTCTGGTGTTGTGTGTGAAGATGAAGGAACTGAAATTCAGCCCTGCAAGCTGGGTTTCTGTTTCCTAAATGTCGGCCAGGAGAATGAATACTCAGCCCAGACTAATTCCCAAGGCCTACACTTTGTTAATCTTTTTTTCGACTCCGTAATATGCGCGTTTGCAAACGTCCCGGGAAGCTTAGGTTTTGGCATGGTCCAAACCTCAGCAGCTGAGCTGCCCTGCCGACATCCTCTCAATCAAGCAAGGCCGGATTTGTCTCGGTCGCGGATGGATGTTTCCAACGACATTTCTTAAAAGCTCCCCCGAATCCCTTTGTAGTTCTCACAGATCTTTGGTTCACCAAGGGCAGCCAATTTTGAGACATCACAAGATGCTGGTTATGGAGTAATCGCCTTGCCTGGTTTCATTTTGCCACTCCAAGTTTTTACTCCACACCGCAGATTCCAGAGAATTCGCTGGGGGTACGGGCGTGGACGCTATATCCTGTGCTGCTGCGTGGTCCACGGCTCAATTGGTTTGTGGATGGTTCCTCAGTCAAGACCGCAGCCGCGAGCAAGAAAGACAGAAGAAGCCAATCTCGAACGTGGAGGCGGCATCCTGTGGCGTTGTGTACTTGAAAGTGCGCATGTGCAAGAGGGCATTCTTTGCGATGATGCAGCAGGTCGATGCATGACCGTGCTCCTGCCCACAACTCGTGACTCAATTTGTCATGGGCGCACACGCAATACTCTTGCGGAATCTTGAGAAGATGTAGCGGTAGCGTTTGATCTTCGGAACTTTTGAGGACAGTCAAGGAAGGAGGAGGCAGTAGTTACAGTAGTTGATCTCGCACGCATAACCTAGTGTTCATGGCTGATCCCGCTCCCCCCCTTAGTCATACATATTTCCCCATAATGCATCGTGGCATTATATCGGGGGCATTGACTGCTAGGTGGGTTCATCATTCGGGGAAGGGGGTTACGATTTTTGCGGGGAAGATGCTCGGATTCCTGACTCTGAGCTCTTAACCCCATATGATAGTTCCTTAAATAGGGGGACCCTGGTGTAGACCCCGAAATATTATGGTCGTTATTACTGGGGCCCCCGAAAAGGTACCCCTAATCTTGGGAAAGTCCCATATCCTCCCAAAAATGCGTGCAGGTGTGTCAAGCCTGGCGGCCTGCCGGGTTTTCTGCAGCCAGGACCAGCGCTGCAAGTCCGTGCAGTGCGCTGGGCTGTTTCTCAGTGCCTGGTAGGGACTGGAGGAATGGATCCCTGTAGTGGCTGCTACATCACCCCAATACTTTTTGTAGACCACTCTTTCTTTAGCATGATTTCATTCCCTCCCAAAAGTTCGCAAGGCTGGCCTGATTCGTACGTGATGCCGCGGTTCTGGATTGTCAGTAGGCAGGAGCCAGATTCTAGTCTGGCACGGTTCTAATATAATCCCTTTAAAAGGTCCCACCCTAAACAACCCAGTATAGTAGTTTCCATTTTCTTTTCCATTATCCCTATTACCCCAGTGGGCAGGGTTCTATGTTTGAGGCTTCAGATGGCAAATCGCATGCTGGCTCTACCCTCATGGATAGTCAGGTACCAGGCCAAAAGCCAAACTTGTGAGTTGCGCAGCACAGCGGCCTGCACAAGAGCTGAGGGCTGTCAGCAGGGGGCTCAGGATTTGTTCAGGATCTCTGCTTGGAGATTCCAGGCGATCAAAACCCACATATACTTGAATTCATGCTTGTAAGTGCTTGCACGGAAAATGGAAGGCATGGTGGCATGATGGAGGCCGTAAGGTGGAAGAAATACGTGGGCAACTGTAGCTGTTTGCAGACAGTACAGCGCGGTAGGTTTGCCAAAGTCAAGCTTTGCCATGCGGAGCACCAAGTCCGTGGCTTTGTGCTTCATTTTCCTTCTCGCAGGTGCAGAGGCTGTGCGTACAGTTGAGAATGTCAACCAACTGGAGGCCTTGAGTTTGGCCCTCCATGAGGGCAAAGGCAAGGAGACAGCTTTTTCAGGGAGCTCCCAGGCACTGCAACCGGAGGATGCTTCAGCGTCGCTGTTGGAGCACTTGGAGGCAATCAATGCCAGTTCCCACAGAGTTATGAGTGGAGAAGGTCTCCTATGGAGAAAGTACTGCATGCTGACCTGCCCCACGCCATGGATCAAAATGGCATACCATACTTTCCGGGCCCGCGCAGATGCCTCAAAGGTAGTTGAAGGGGCTTTCGCAGCAGGCGGAAGCCTGAGTATGCTGCCAGTCGCCGATCTCAACCTGGCCGAGGCATACACCTTGACTATGCGACAGGCAACATGGACCTTCCTGAAGCTGGGTTGCTGTTAAGGAACTTAAGTTAAGTTACTATATTGGGGAAACCCTATTATTTACTATATATACCCATTATGGTAACTTAATTTAAGTTCCTTAACAGCAACCCAGGAAGACTCTGGACAACAGTGCGATGCAGCGGGTGGTGCTCACCTTGGTCGTGGCCCCTTTCAGCCTCTTCCGGAAGCTGACCACGATGCAGCCTCTGGGCCTTTGCGTCTTCAAGCATGCCTGGAAGGATCTGCAGCATTCTGAGAGCTACAAGCAGAAAAGCCCGCGGTGGTGGAAGTTTTTCTTCCTTGGCTGTCCGGAAGATGCGGCCGAGCCAACCCCAAGCTTTGCAGACGAGAGCTCCGCTAAGCACCTCTTGGGAGGAATGGTTCCTTGGTATGGATGGGGTACCCTTAATCCGAGCACTAGTTAAATGAAGAGGACCACATTTAAATAACTAGGGTCCAAAGACTACTTTCAATTAGACGGCTTTTCGTATGAGGAGAAGGGATTACATTTAACGAAATTTTCTGGGAAACCCATCCTAATAGTAGAGATTCAATAAATTCCTATTCTTCTTGAGCGAGTTCCAGGAGCTCCAGTGACCCAGGAATGATTTCTTAGGATTTTTACAGATATTCGCTACGTTCCTATTCAGTTTTTAATCGAGCTCCAAGAGCACCAACCATTCTTTTAATCCGGCGCCCTCAATCTCTTATTCTGGCGGGGGGGTCCTCCAAATTACTACGATGAAGGACGAGATCATACAATGGGCACCATATGAGGAATCTTAGGGGATTGAAGCTGTGTGGGCTGGGTGCTCTCCAGGTGGATGCAATCTCGGAGCCCGAGGGTCTTGAGGTGGAGGAGGAGGCAGCAAAGTGGCGGGGAGCATCGACTCATGCGCAGTGCGTGAAGCTGTTCGTCCGGAAAAATGCTCCTTGGACTGCAGCTGGGCAGCGTTTTTTTTGGTTTAGGCTGCCCGAACTTTTTGCTACCCTGCTACCCTACCCATCTCATGGTTTACTTGGTTCAGGTGTGGTTAACTCGGGCGCTGCAAATCGAAAAAGGGATTGTGGCGTGGATTGCTGACCCGATGAAGTGCAAGGGGGTCGGTGCACTGGACAGGATCAAATACAACCTTGGGCACAAGCGCTATTTCGCCTTGGAGTTTGTGACCGCGCCCCCTGGTGCTGAGGCAGTACAGCTCGTGGACAGCTCACAGTGTGTCACTTTGAAGAACCCCTACCGGCAGTTCAAGTTCTGTGGTACAGCTGGTGAGAGCATGGCCAAGGCCAAGGAGGTCCTGGACCAGCATCTCTCCATCCTAGGTACGGAGCACCGCGTGTTTCAGATGACGGCTAAGGTGGGTCGACTGGTTGCAGCCAGTGCAGTTGCTGATGATGAGCATGAGAGGAAGGACCTTGACGATAGCATTGATCAGTCCGGAGACTCCAGTGTTGATGGGCTTGCGTCTGAAATCGGCGAGCTGTCGGGAGAGACGGAGTCAACTGATGCCGCGACAGCAATCCAGATTTTGGAGCAGGTCAAGAAGGCCTCCTCCCTGATTGCCACTGGAAAGGTGCAGGGAGGCTCAGCTTTGCTTCAGGAAGCTTATGCGGCTTCTCACAGCAACATGCATCTTGTGGACATCATGAGCGGGAAGGCGCATGACGTCACCAAAACACAGGGTGCGGAGCTTGTGAGGTCTTCGAGTAGCGATGGTGGCTTGGGTGCAACCCTCGCAGGGTTAAGCACCCTGTCCATTGTGATGCTGGGCCTCTTCCTCTTCGTGTGCATTGGAGGTATCGGCTGCGCAGCACTCATCGTTCTTGGCACCGTTCTGGGCATTAAGGAGGGGTGGATTCATTACACCGAGAAACGGCGCTTGCGGCTCAATGCCACCAATTCATCAAGCCTGCAGACCTTCCCGGTCCTCCCCCGTCCAGCTCTAGCCTGACGGACCAGCTGGGATTAGCATTGCCAGCGTCCCATGGTCGCAAAGCAGCGGCACTCCCACGTTCCAGAAGCAGTGCTCCAGACGTCCCGGCTTTCTAGCTGAAAACGTCGGGAAAACAGCCTCTCTCTCCGCATACGACTTTGATATGAGTCCTGCGTACTGGCCTAGCAGGGCCTAGCATGCAAGCATTGTCAAAATATTTGCATTCAAGCTTGGTGCCCAGGTGTGATGCAAACGCCGAAAGCCTCACGTCCAACCACTGTCCTGGTGGTGCCTGGGCCGAATGGCTTGTGCCCTCCCCGAAACCATAGATCCGATTTCGATCACTACTGTAAACATGTGCTTTCACCGTTAAGGTCTTCATTTGGGACATGCTAATTTTCCATGGTCTTCTGTGTTTGCTGCAATGCTTACCCACAGATTTAAAACAGATCAAGCCCAAAAGACGCTTGGGTACGTGCTCAGATAAAGGCCCTGGCTGAGGCAGTGTGGTTGCGCCCGTTACAGCTCAGCCAGACAAGCTGGCACATTATCCGGTGACCTGCACGGGAGTCGCCAAGACGCCCTTCTGGCAGCAACCCCCAAACATGACAACCTCCACCTCCTCTAGCGGCGGTGCCGGCACTTCTGGAAATGGTCCCGGTGGCTCCGGCACTGCGAGCACTACGAGCAGCTCCAGCGTGGCTTGGGTCTACACGAGCTGGGATGAGTCCAAGGACCGGCCTGAAGCAACGTTGTTTTGTAGATTGCAGAAAATCCAGATGAACTGCCATGTAAAAGGTTGTTGCATAGGGCGAGTTCCTTCGCAGGAGTGCGAGCAGATTTGTGGTCTCAAAGAAATCCGCGAGACCCGGTCGGTGACCTGCCAGGCCCCGCAGCCCTCACCAACCGGTCAGCTTGATGCCGAAGCATTCAGTTTTCCGCATTTCGACTCCTTGTTTCTGCAGCCCTAACTCCTCAGCTGAATGAGCCGATTCTGATGCAGGTGAAGGGCACTGGTAAGATGGCGCATCTCGGCTGCCAGTGCTTGTTGCTTTTGTTGCTTTAGACCCCATTATCGGGAACTATGAGCCATGCATGATGGTCATCGTAATAGTCCGCCCAACACGTTCTGTCCTGCAAGAAAGTACATGTTCAGGGGCTGTCTCAAGTTCTGAAATTTCCCAGACCTCCGCAGACCCTACATCCCCAAAACCCTCTTGAGCATCTGATCCTTCACCATTCCGCAGAGCCTGCCCAAGGAGGGATTTATCTTTAATTATGCTCTTTCGAAGAAAGCCCGCGAAGATGGTCTACCATGCTAGGTTCGTAAATATCCAGGATGATGAACCTGTAGTTTGCATATATACATATAGAGGTATTCTTGGGGGAGGGGTCTCCGGCGATGTTTGAATACATCAAGTCCACGAAGACGGGCCTAAGAGTTGGAGGGCCCAAGCGTTAACCAGGGTACAAGTGAAACAATTTGCATGCCAGAATACCATTGAACAATCCTGGTGTATCCTGGTCTAGATTGTGTATGAGGGACAGCTCACATTCAACCCCCCCAAATCCCTAACGTTTCCCAGTAGAGGTTCTCCGAAAGCAGAGCCATATCTTTGCAGCAAACTTGCCGGAAGTATGCAGTTTTTCAGGTCTACAAAGAGGTATGGAGGATGATTTGTTGCTCCTGCGATGCGCGTGGATCTGCAATTTGTGACCCAGAAATCCAAATGTTTCTGCAGACGACTTACGTAGAAACGTTGGTTTCCTGTGTGACAAATTCAATGCTGCAAATACTGACCAGAGCGGAACTGTTCCGTGTGCGAAGCTTAGCCAAGCGGATAATGTATGCAGTCCGGGTTTTCCGTCGGCCCACCACGCTGATTGGAGGCCTGCGACACAGAACGCATCCGCTTCACCTCTGTGCGAAGATATTGCAAACTGCAGGAATGCTTCAACTAATATTGAGGTGCAGCACGTTGGTATCTCTGACGGTCTTCGCGCAGCAATGTTCCCTGTAAGAACGCGCTGGTTCCAGAGAAATGTCCATTGGCAGAGCCGAGACGTGGAGTTCTTCTAGTTCCATAGTCTCCTATCCCCTTCGGAATCAGCTTTTCATTTGTATTGAGTATCACCACAGTTTTTCTTAGAAATGCCAGCTCAATACGGGTCTAAGGGGGATTGCCGTAATGGGAGCAAGCAAGACTTTTAGCAGCGGAGTATCGAATGCAACCGGCAATTCCTCAAAACGTAGCGGGAGTTGAGTGAACGCGACAGTGGCCACAGTCTGTCGAAGAAGCTTAGCCGCAGAGATCCCCAAAGCAAGATGTTCAGCGCCAGAGCCCAAGGAGCCGGAGCAGCTGCCCGCAGCCGGAGCCTGCGGCAGAGCGGCTGGTATGTCCGGCCACGAGAGCCTGCGACACGTGCAGCAGAACCTAGGGCTGCGATTGAGACCTCGGGGTAATCTTTTGAAGGCCGCAAAGTAGAGGCACAGGCTTTGCAACGAGTCACCCCTAGATAGCTCCTGACCCATCCGAAGCTGCTGACACTTCTGCAGAGTGCCTGTAACAGTTTATGTCTGATGTGCACGCAAGTCTGCTTGTGGCCGCACATGCTGGTTTAGAAGCTTGGCTCAGGCGTTTGGTGTGGCGCGGATGCAGTGCCCTTGACGGATGAGGTTCCGGATTGCGGCAGCTCATGTACACGACACTTGGCATTGACAAGAAGCATGCATGATAAGTGGCAGTCCCTTGCTCCAAGCAGTGCCTAGCACGCAGACGTAGACTTGCTACGCACCGGAGAGGCCCTGTTGATAGTCAGCTAGCCGTTGCGCTAAGGAGATCTCTGCTGCAAGAAGTGGCGCGGACGAATTGAGAAATAAAATTGCAGGGAGTCTCTTGGAGTCTCTTGGAGTCTTGTTGCAGCCCTTGTCGGTTTGTTTCGCAAAGGGGAAGTCAGCCAGGCCCCTTTCATTCTGAGGTTTGCCACTGGCTTCCAGGCCGCAAGCGTGAGCGCAAATGCTTCGGCTGCCGGGGTCCTGGAAGCACAGTCCGGCATAACATTCTTGTTACTTCAGAAGCAGCATCCAGTGCCCTAGAAGTGCCACGTAGCTCTTCCATGCCTGAAATCTAGACCGCCAATTCAGGTAGCCAACCAGGGCTCTTCTGGTGGGTCAGTGCAGTTTGACGGTGAACCCGCGCAACCATCAGAGGGTGGCACCTTGGCAGCGCTTAATGGGTGGAGCCGGCTTAAGGCTCAGGATGTCCTGTGCTGCATACTGTACTTGGAGGGTCATGGAGACATAGTAAGTAGGTTAATAAGTAGGATAAATAGGCTTACTATATGGGTTATAGGGGTTATTAACCTACTTACTAAGTCCCCCTGACCCTCCAAGTAAGGGCCTCTGGAGATCCAAGATGTTCCTTTTCACGTTCTTGCTAGCCTACTAGCGTGATCTGTGCCTTAGTGGACTGCGCTAAGCCTGATAGCGACAGCTGCCTCACCTCAAGCTAGGACATTCTTACCACCTGGGCGGCAAGACTGGGCTTGTGCTGGGCGGGACCGGGACCGCCGAGTTCACAGCAGCCTGTCTTGAAAAACGTGCTTGAAGGCATGAGTGCCAGTACCTAGAAGAAAGAGCCAAATCTGGGGTATGGAATTACAGGGAGGGCCCCTGCTTTGAGACACTCCCACATAGACTACGGTAATCCGTGGCTAGCGCGCCAAGCTTCTTGTTGTGAACCCTTGTTCGCATGGTGCCCTACATCTGGTCTTAAGTCTTTGAAAACATTGTTTCAAGGGGTTTAGGGTTTAGGGTTTAGGGAAATGACCCCGGACACATTCAGCACCCTGCCAGCCCCGAAAACATGAGTTTCCAGAAAGCTGCGCATGAGTTCTGGAAGATAACATCCCCCATGGCAGTAAAAGTGTATCGGCAAGGGGGTGGCAAGGGACATGAAATATTGAAGCATGAGGGGGTGTGGGTAATCTAGTATTACTGATATTACTGGAGGGGATTGCTGCTGCTGGCTTTCAAGGCTGTCATTTACGTCAAGCTGAACGGGACGGACAAATCCAAGGAGCAGACGCTGATGTTAAAGGAAGGTGCGAAGTTTGCTCAATGCGGTGTTACTATCGGGGCGTAAATATTTACCAACATCATGGCCCCATATTCCTCATATAATTATGGTCTATGGTACCTCAAATGGACCTCAAAATGATACTGGTAATTATTTAGGCCCCTGTAGTAGGTTTGGGGCTTACGTTGCCGGAACTATGATGGCAAAATGGAGTGCTTTAGCTGTTTAATAAGGGGCTATGACGGCTATGATAGAAGTGATGCTGCCAGAGTGCTTGAGTAGCCTCTGGCCTGCAGGGCTTAGTTCGTTTTGACTGGGCACGTATAGGCAGTCTCGTCCACGTAGTCTGCGTAGTCTGTATGTCCCGTAAGCAAGAAGAGGTTCGTGCGGAATGCTACGGCAGCACCATGGCGAGAGTGTGTTCGCGAAGTCTGTTCTGTCGGGAAAACAGCGCTCCGCGTAGTTCGCGTAGGCATTCTAGGACATTCCAGGAAGTTTAAGAGAAGTTTATCTTTGATACAAACAATGCTCCTTTTGATGCACATACGCGAGACGCCTAGTCTCGTGTTGGAAACGTCCAGGTGTTGTTATCACCCATTGACCGCAACACTTCTTTCTTGCAATTCAACAAGTTTGACTTGATCTGGCATGCACAAGCCTGCAAGCTGTACTGCTTCGAGTGCGCTAGGGATAGCACAGCGGGCAGCGCCGATGCTGTGCCAAGAGTCAACATATTTTGCCTGGCTCAACTTGCAAGACTGACTTCTCCCTTGAACGCTTGCGTGAGATTCGATTTTGTTTGGAGGCGGGCCGGGCGACTCCGGAGCATGGGAGCTGATCGCAACGTCGCAGAAGCAGCTGGGGGTACGATCGTTCAAGGACAGCAAAATGCCTGTAGTCATGTCCGGCACAAACTGTCCAGCCTTCTGTAAGTTTCAG